AATGACTTTGGAGCATTGGAAATACCTTGACCTATGATGCAATGTCCTCCGAGGAAATTGAGCTGGCAATTCTTCACGGGTAATGAAGTCACCTATCACCTTACTGAGAGTCCAGGTGAGTAATAGCTCCAGACTGACTGACTGCAATGAATCATCCCCACTGGTCCTAAGCATCAGCAGAAACCCCAGAAATCCAGGTCTGCTGCACTGTTCTCTGTCAGAGGCGACAGCTGTGTGTACCTGCTGCCGCTAGAGCGGGTCCTCGGCTGCTGTCGGGTCTCCTCCCAAGTCTGCCTCCCAGTGTCTGGGGTCGTGGCATTTGTGCACAGCAGAGCTACGGGCTCCTACACGTGGTCCCGTACGTTCAGACTCCATCCTCCGAGACCCGAGAGGAGGCCCGTGAAGTTTGGGAAGGGGAGCTGCCACTGTGGGTTAAAACCAGGCAGCCTAGGCACTGCCTCCTTGCTGAAGCCCTGTGTCGCGTTCTTGTGACCCCACAGCAATGCTGGCGTTATGAAGAGGGATTTCCTCAGACCCAACTGTATCCCATACTGTACAGCTGGTGTGCAGAGATAATGGGTTTAAAAAAACCTACACACTCAATGAAAACTAAATGTATGGAAGCTAAGAAAACAAAAATCCTCTAAAGGGAAAATGGTGAGACTAGTTCTGTGCAACTCCTGAAGGAAGAGTTTTTAATGTTTAGAAAAAAAGGAATATGGATCAGAAACCAAACATAGTTGCCTAAGAGACACTCAAGGACGTACAGAAATGAGATTTCCAAAAGGGAAGTTTTTTTATAAACACATAATAATTAAGATGGAATATAAAATGCTTATTAGTAATTAAGATGGAATATAAAATGCTTATTAATAATTATGGCAATACTATGAGAACCAGTTCCCATCAGTAAGAGTTTTACAATCTATCTTGGCATAAGAGAAAAAAAGGTTAGACAATGTTATAGACTGAATGTGTGTCCCCTGAAATTTCTAGGTTGCAACCCTACCCTCTACCCTGTGATGGTATGGGGGGGGGGGGGCTTTCCGGGTGTGGCTACGACCTGATGAGGTCATGAGAGAAGCATCCTCACGAATGGGATCAGTGTCCTTGTAAGAGTCACAGAGCCAGCAGCCTGCATCCTGGAAGGGGGGGTCTCACCAGAACCAGGCAATCCCCCCTCCACAACTGTGGGAAATACTTGTGTGTTCTTTATGAGCCGCTCAAAGTATTTTTGTTACAGTGGCCCGAACTTGTTGGGAACCGCCCTACCTGGTTTCAGGAGCTGTAACCCCCCCTCCCCCCATGGCTAAGGCTGAGTGAGTGACCTTCAGACCATAAGCCACTAAGGAGACAAAGCTTATCTCCCTGGCAGGAGCTGGTTCTGCTCCATTTTCCATAACCGGCCTCCAATGCTTGATCAGTTAGCCAATGACAGGTAAAATTCCCCAAAGGGGGAAATGATCTAAGATAGGCATGATCACGTGGAGGCCCCAAGGAATAACTTGGGGGGCTATGGAGAAAGGGGGTGATGGACCCTCGCCCCTCGGCTTTGATGAAGCCTGAGTCCTCAATCTGTGAAAAGTCTCCTAATTTCTTGGCTATCTTGCCTTCTCTGCCTGACTTAAGCCTGAAATAATGACGGAGGGTGGCACAGCCGTGTGCTGGAAAGGGTGGGCTTCCCAGGAAATCAGGCCCAAGAAAGAATACATAAAATCCTGTGAAACCTGCTTTGCTAAGAATGCTCTTAATTAAATAATAAAGGCCCAAGCCAGAAATGAATGTTTCCCAAAGTTTTGTAGACTTTTAGCTGATAGACCCTGACTCACAAGAAGCCCTAATAGTTCTTTGTATGCTATCTACTATTTGATCCTTACTGCCTGACAATGATTAATGAGCTGTACCTGTTTTCCTGCGCAAATTAAACCCAAAAAAGCTTGTCTAGGCAAGGGTCAGTGCGCTCTCCCCTTGAGGGAGGAGCCATGCCGTCCCTTTTCCTCCGCAGGACTCGGTAGTCCGTGTGAATTTGTCTTGTATCTCATCCATAATGCCACGGGCACTGTGAGTCGGTGTCCATGTCACGAACTGACTAAGATAGGCAGGCGGGCAGAATGAGATTTGATAGAGATATATAGATACACACACACATACCAGTAACTATCAAGTAACACTAAAAAGTCAGTATTAACTAGTCTAGCAGGCGAGTTTCCTACTGTGTAGTGTTGGGTACAGAGAAAGGCAGTGTTTAGAATCATCCTGCAGACTAGAGGACTAGATAAAGCTTCCTGAAGGAGAAATGAAGCTTGACCCTGAAGACAGGTCAGATTCAGCTTGAGAAAGAAAACAGGAGGGAGACAGTTCAGGGAGAGGGAACCCAAGTGTGTGTGAGGCACGCAGCGGCCGCTGGATGAAAACACACTATCCTAGAAGAAGTTAAAGAAAAAAGTAAGATGAGATGTCACTATCCTAGTTACACTCCTCGGAAAAACTGTTTCCAGCCAACAAGATGCCGAGAACCACGGGGCTGGGAGGGACAGCTGTCTGCATCAGGGCTGGCTGAGCATCACCTGGGATTAGGGTAGAAATGCAGATTTTCGGGCTGCCGAAACCTAAGCGTCACCCGGGCAGTGTGAGCTGAACGAGCCCCCTGTGTGGCCCTGATAGGTGCACAAGTTCAAGAAGCACTCCTGACTTAATGGTCAATCTGGACTACAACGTGCTTTCCAAGTAAATCCTTTAAATACGCAGACAGACTGATGGTGGCCAGAGGGGAGTGAGGCTGGGGCACTGGGCGAAAGAGGTGAAGGGACTGAAAAGTGCAGACTGGCAGCTACCAAACAGTCGTGGGGATGTGAAGGACAGCACAGGGGATAAAGTCAACAATACTGTAACAACTGTACGGAGTCAGGCAGGTACTGGAAACATCAGAGGGAGGGAGGGGAACCCTTTCTAGAGTTTGTGACTGTCTCACCACTATGCTGTATTCCTGAAACTAATACAAAATAATACTGTAAACTAACTTAGATAAATAGGATATACAAAACAAGTCTACACGCTTAAGAGAAATGGATCTATTTTATCTAACAGAACAAATTCAAGTTCTTGATTTCCAGGCTTCCTTCAACTACTTATCCCCTCCACCCCCTTGGCCTCTCTCACAGTGTGGGAGTCAGTAGTTCCCATGACATTTTAGTATCTGTATAAATGGGAAGCTGGGGAATTCACTCCTCATTTGATTAATGACCAAAGAATCAAGCTCTCCATATTCCGGGCATAGACATGCTGTAAACTGAGCACTGGCTACGTCGGGTGCATGATGTCACTCTTCTCCAGAACTGCTGTGGAAGAAGGATGACCCACTGAACTAGTCTCCACCGACCACGGTCAACACTTTTTGAAAACAGTAAGTAAGAGATAGGCCTGGCTGGTGTAGCTCAGTGGACCGAGCGCAGGCCTGCAAACCAAAGGATCGCAGTTCAATTCCCAGTCAGGGCACATGCCTGGGTTGCAGGCCAGTTCCCAGCAGGGGATGCACGAGAGGCAACCTTACATTGATGTTTCTCTCCCTCTCTCCTTACCTTCCCCGCTCAAGATAAATAAATAAAATTTTAAAAATATATAGGGTTCTTGCTTTAAAGACACACACACGTGCACCCAGCTCCACCCGGGGAGTGCTCAGGACTACAGATTCTAGAGTCCCCGTCCCTGCTGTCATTGCTGCTGGGGTTACTAGAGAGAAAAGAGGATACTCCTTCTGGGAAAAAGAAGAGCCAAGTTGGCCAGCGTGTTTGAGTGATGTGCATGTTCAATCCCCGGTGCACAGCCTTCAGCATCTAAAAATACATATATGACCATCTTGGGGGAGACAGCTCATCTGGAGACTGTGATTCCCCATTTCCAGTTTCACTTTGATTTCCGCTTACATTTTCAATGTCTTCTGACCGCCCCCAAATTTTAGCATACAAAATTTCTCCAAGCTTCTTTTAATACTTAATGAGTTCATAATGATTTCATGCGAATCCAGCAGAAACTATAAAAAGGTGTGTAATGTGAAGGACACTTTCCATTTAAAGCCCCAAGAACACCCAGCTAGGGTCAAATGACATCATTATCCATGAGTTCATTTTAAGCAACGTTTATTTTTTAAAGACTTTAACTTGAAACACAGGACACCCAAACACTCTCAGGCTGCGTTACAAGAGGTATCTTGGGTGCCATCTGACTCACTAATCAAGTAAAGCCACGTAAGTATCAGTGGAGTTCTCTTTGTTCCTTTCTGAGTGTTTGTTTGAACCCTGATGCTCTTTGATGCCCCGGGCACCCCCAGTCCACATTTACTCCACTGCCTGGTCAGTGCTGGAAGACAGACAAGACACCCCTCACGTGGTTCACAGAACCACATGGTTCACCCCTCAAACCAGGTTCACAGAAGTGTGTTTGGGTCCGTGGTACTTGTGCTGATGTGCACCTGAGCTGATCTGCACTGCCTGGCACTAAACCCAACTGAGAAGATAAAATCCGGTATTTCACCCAGCAACTGTCAATGATGCAGGGTGCTACGGAGGAAACAGGAAAGAATGTTCTATTTCCTCCAAAACCCTCAAATATTTACACAACTCAAATATCATTCTAGAGACAGTTTCAACCATCCATCGACCGCACCGCACACATTGTCATGCCTCTAAAAGTTTACAGAACCAGGGAAAGCACCCTGAGCAGCCCAAGAACAAGTTTCTTTTGGCCAACCCGAAACTGGCACGAAGTGAACTTGAAACAAATTGGAAATAGCACCCATCTACCCCTTCCACCCTGGGAACACAGAGCTACCCAGGAAAGGCCCTTTTCATGGACCTTTCTCCCTCTGGCAGCCCCACTGATTTAAAGAAGGAACAGAGGTTCTTAGATCTAACAGCTTCAGTACGCACTGGCCATGTGAACTTCAAAATGAAGCTCATGGCCCTCCTTCCCTCAGCACTAAGCAGAAGCCCCGTGACACTTACGCAGTGGGTGCCCAGTCCCCATCGGTGACGAGGTGGTTTTTGTCTGGTCCAGGGAGCCCATGAACAGCTGCAGTCGTGGGAGACAGGGAGGAAAGTGAGTCTAGACTGCTGGTGTCCTCCTTAGGAGGGTGAGGACTGTCACCTACGGAGGGGAGAAAATAAGGCGTCAACTTTCAAACAAATACTCAGAGGAGAAAAAACAACTCCACTAATAATTACACAACATCACCTGATTAGTTGATCAAATTATATCCAAAATTACATTTACAGTTCAGTGTGCATGCATCCGGGAGTCTGTCTTTAAAGATTATGTTGTGTTTTTTTTTAATCAAAGATGCTTAAAATATAGCATAGATAATACACAGTAAGGAGCATTTCCCCCCAGAAAAAATACACTGATGAAAATCAGATTAAAGGCAAGATGAAAGCCTTTATGGCGGCCACGGTGACTTTCTAATCTAGAAGGAGCCCTGTTATCAGTTACAATAATAACCTCGAGAACAATCTGAGCCATACACCAGCCCTGCAGGGTCCAGCCTTTCTTTCTAGTTACCTGATGGTTCTTCAAGCCACTGCCAGTCACCACTTAGCGCTTAATAAATTAAAAAGTTCTAAAGGGACCTGGTCTTCTGAGCTGGATTACAATTGAATTGACCAACTTTTTAAAATTCCGGACAGAGAGACACTTCCATTTCCCTGTGAACATTAGGGACCATGTTGTACAAGAATCAGGCCCCTGCAGTGACTCCAGAGATTGACTTCAAACCAAAACTGAAAGGCATTCCTTAGATGGGGCACCTGAGTTGTTGCTTCACACAGACCGTTTTACAAAATGGGTTTAGTATCTTGTGCACACATTACGGTGGAAGATAGAAAAGAGAGGCCTCCCGCTCGCCCTCCAGCAGCTGTTCCCTCTGCTGGTCCTCCTGCTGTCCCAGCATCCCCACTGCTACTACAGACACACCTGAACTGCACCCATCACAGCTTGGACCCCCTTGGCCAGACTGACACACCCAATCAGCATTGGGTTCCAGTGCCTTTCAGAGGCAGTGATGCGTCATTAAGATGGTGCTGATCTGGTGCTGGTTTTATAGGTGATGGGTCACATTAAACAGCTGATCAAAAAAGTACAACATGGAAGCAGATAATACATAACGTGGGAGTCCGTAGTCCCAGGCACAAATAGCTTCTGGCTGAGGAAGCCCTGCGTTTTTCCTCAGGCCTACGTCCTAGAAACAGAATGGGCCTAAATGCCAGGAACAGCAACAAACTCGCTCTCGGAAAACCATCTTAGACGGATTTCAGATCTACTAATCATAAAGCACAAGAGAAATTCTGGGCTCTGATTAAACTGGCTCCCAAGATGCTGATCTTGAAAATTGACTGTATGAAATCATTCTTATTTAACCATGACCCAGCGTACAATTAAGGCTAAGAGGGAGAATCTTAGAAATGGAAAGCTAGAGATGATGATGTAGGGGCTGCAGGACGTGGGGGAGGTGGTGACAGTGGACAAAGGGACCCGTACGGGGGCAGCAATGGGAGACACCCTGGCGACCCTGGGCAGCAGACGGAAGTGTGCTGTCAGGGAGGGTGGGCGGTACGGTGTGGCAAGCAACGAGCACCACCTCCGTGGCCTGGGTCTCCCCAGGGAGCCTTGCTCCGTCCCACCCCAAATATGCAGGGCAGTCCAAGATACAGTATCGTGCCCCTTTCGGTGAAGTTGCTTTTTGTATGGCCTTTCACTACAAATGTGTTTAGCTAATTGGAGTCATTCCGCCCCAAACAGAAAGGCCAATTTTCAGAGAAATGAACCGGAACCCCGTGACAGAACACGATGATTCCCTTTATTTTTGTTCTGGGATAAAGCCCACTTGGAAGCAAAGGCCATGTCCTCCTTTGTCCCTGGACAGCAGAGGTCCATCCAGCTCTTCTTGTCTGCAAATGAGCCCAAGAACAAGGGGCTGGACTCTGTCAGGCCCCACCCTAGTGTCCCTCTGTCACTGTGAGCAAGGGCTCCCTTCCAGATTAAGAACATCTCAAACGTGAGCTCAGCACAGGGTCTGAAGTAAATTACTGAACATTTACCTGCAGGAGAGCTGGCAGTTCAGGCCTTGGCTAGAAGTGGCAAAACACGAGGAACCCTGAAGCAGACAGGATAACCCTAACAGCGAGCCAGACGCAAGCAGCTTCCTGGCCTCGGAGGCTGGCGCCCGGCCCTCGGCTCCCTGGGCTCCCTGGGCCTTCTTCCCTGACTGCAGGGCAGGACACAGCAAAAGCAGCAAATGAGAGTCTGGGGCCAGCTTGAGCCTGGATTCTCTCCTGCCAGGAGAACCCGTCAGTGGGAAGCAACTGTGGGGAACTGGGGAGCAAGGGTCTAAGGTGACTTTCAAGAGACAACTGAACTGTTTTTCCAACCAGATACCCTGACTCATCAACACCATCGCCCATCTCTCCCCCAGGCTGACTGACTCCACGCAAACTGTCATTCGGCACAACTTTCTGTAAGGAGACTTTCTCTCCTCATTCCTGCCAAACAGTGGCCGATCCGAACCTGCAAGTGCAAACGACACTGGCAGGAGGGAACATGTTTATACACAAAGCGACGCCCTGCTTCTGGGGGCACAGAATTCCTTTGGCCTTCACGGCTCAGGAATGAGCTCGTCTACTTGAGAATCACTGAATTCAGGGAGACACTAACACCATGCACATAAACATTAAATACGTCTAAACATGTCTGAAACTGAGTTCACCAAAATCAAATTACTACTTTCTACCTAGTACGAAAGCAATGCGATTTCACAGAAACAAAAATTCTATGTTCGGTGATTTCTGGAATGAAGACTTTTTACTCCTATGAAACGAACTTGTACTTGAGGATGAAAGTCAGGTGCCCTCATCATTTTTCACATTCCACCTGAGTGCCGCCCAGCTTCTTTCCCAAGGTATCACCCTTGAACAGGCATCTACAGACAGAAGGGTCACCTGGGCAAAACAAGGTCGTTACAGGCAACTGAACGAAACTGCTTCCGAGGGGGTTTGGTTATGAACAGACTATGAGAGAAGAAACTCATTGGAAAGAGAACTCCCACCATCTAGAACAGAAATGACTTCCGCACAATACCCAGCTTAACTCCCACCACCTCCAGCAGAGCCCCTGCCGACCGCCTTCCCCGCCTCTTCTGGCCTTTCTCCCAACTGTAAGCAGAAATCAAGTTCATATTTCACTGTCGTCTGAGAGTCCCATACCTTGTTTTAGTGACCCATTTCTGTTACACGTTTTCTGAGGATGGACCACGTCTCAGTATTGGTGATGCTTAAAGAGCACACGGGCAGGCCCAGCAAAGCAGGAGCCCTCTGGAAATACTGACCGTGGACTCGCTGCCGCGTGATACATCACGAACACAAAGCCCACGCCCATAGAAACTAAGACGTGAAAAGCCCTACATACCCTGTATATTCGATCAACAAGCATTTATTTACTGCATTTCTACTTATGTACAAGTCATACCACGGCTGTTAAACCAAAGATGCTCACAGCTTAGTGCAGAACAGTCAGATCTAGACAAATGAGCAGAAGTTGACACAGGCTGTAATGTGGCCACATTGAGCAGATTTGAGACCAGAGAATGGAACTGCCAAACCTGCCGTTGGTGGGGGTGAAAAGCGGGGCGGGGTCAGGCCACAGGCAGAGGGAGAAATTATTGCCAGACTTTAGAGCAAAGACCCCGTCAGAAAATATCAAGACTGAACGCACAGAAATAAGAATATGGCAATTTTCGGAGCTCTAAGTATTTGGATTTATCTAGAGAAAAGGCTCCGAAGCAGAAAGCAGCAGTACGAGGAGGGTGAAGACTTTTGGGGGTACCAAGGCGTGTGAATCTGTTCTCTAGGCATCGGGAAGTTACTGCAAAGATTAAGCAGGGAGCAAGGACCCAGAGCAAGGAGTCAAGAGGTGTTCCAGTGTAACAGTCGTCAGAACTTTACAAATCAAAGGGAAGGAGAAGCAGGACCCTCAAAGTCTTGGCTTAGGGGCCTGGGTAGATGGTACCCAGGGAATTTTTTTAAAAACTGGAAAAATGAGATGTGAGAGATAACAACACCAGTTGTAGTACAGAGCTTGGGCTTGAGGTTTTGAGAAAAATTCCAGGTGGTAATACCTAGAGGAGACTGAGCTCAGGAAAGAGTTCGGGTGAGTTTCGTTGACAGGAGAGCCACATGGACAGAGCTGGAGCCAGTGCACGGGGTGGGGCAGCAGAAGGGGGAAAATGCAGAAAGGGCCTTGGGGGAACACTCGGTGTGAGGGGCACACTTCTTCTCAAAGCAGTATGGGGGGAGATATCAATATTTTAGATACAGAAAAGTGCTATTTTACAAATATTTAAGATCCGCCCCCAGACACAGGTTCTCCAAAATTGGAGGAAAAGGCATTCGAGAGGCCATGTCTCTCATGACAGCTACTGACAGCACCATTTGGTTTGATTTCTGTATGACCCTGAGCATATGGAAGGGAAGAAAGAAGGAGTGGGGGGGGGGAGTAGAGGGAGGGGCTGGGGGGAGGGGGGAGGGAAGTTAGTTACAATCTATAACTAACTGACCTGAATTCTAACAAACTTCACAGGTGCGCACTTGGTTAACGGGAAGACAAGTGCAGGCTCCTACTGCAGCTCCACTGGTAAACAAATACCCTTCCTTTCAGATCAGAGTATCACAGAAGCATCTGAGTACCAAACAGCTGATCTCTCGGATCAAAGATTTACTGAGGGCAAAGTGATCGCATCTGCAACACAGAAATATTTGTGCACTAAAAGCCAGTCCTCCTGCATGTGCCCCACAACAAAAATGTGTTAAAATAAGATTTTTTAAATAAATAAAGAAATATAACTGTACTAAAAACGGTTACACGTCTCTGAAACAAACAGAAAGGGAACAGAGGTTCAGCGGGCAGGGGAATGCAAGCCAAATGTCTCCTGGCTCGGGGATCCGAGAGAACCAGCCAGACTTTTTTAAATCCTTTGGCGTCTTTGTACCATAAATCTTCATTGCACGGTGTGGGTGGGTGGGGGGAAGGATGCAGTTAAATCGGACTCTCCGTGTGGAAGTAGGGGGTTGTGAGATGCTCACCACACTAAATGGAGGCCA